AAGAGATTGGAGAGAAAGGTTCAGAAGGCAAAGCGTATACCAACCTTGGCGTTGCGTATTACTCTCTCGGTGATTATCAAAAAGCAATCGAATTTCATCAGCAGTCCCTTAGTATCGCAAAAGAGATTGGAGAGATGAACACAGAACGAATGTCATACAACAATCTTGGTCCTTGTTTTCAAAAGCTTGATGATTTCCCTAAGGCTGAAGAGTGTTATGAATCCAGTATAAAAGTGTTTGAGGAGATGAGGTTCCTTCTTCAAGAGAAAGAAGAATGGAAAATCAGCTTTCGGGATCAAGTGAAAACGTACAGTTCTTTGTGGATTAGTCAGTTACGACAAGGAAAGACCAAAGAGGCGCTTTTCACAGCTGAGCGGGGACGAGCGCAAGCTCTCACGGATCTTATGGAATCACAATTTGGCGCAAAATAGACTCCATCAGCACCAAAAGAGACGATAGAAAGAATAACAAGCATTTCAAGTCTTATTCCATCGCCTACGACATTTCTTGCGGAAGCAGAAAAATCAGTGCACTTCTGGGTAATGCGTAAAGGACAAGAGTGCCAATTTACGGAAAAGAAAATCAATGGTACCTTGAAAGATATGACTGACAAAACTTTCGAACAAGTTCGTGCTACTGAACCTGCCAGGTGCGAAGATCGCTCGCTGGATGATCCAGACGATAAAACAGTTGAAGATGTATCCGATAGAGGTAAAGATGAAAAATAATTTACGTCGTCACTAGCTGAGAATGATACTTTAAGAGAGTTGTATGATGTTATGATCGCTCCGATTGCACACTTGATAGAAGATGAGGAACTTATCATTGTTCCTGATGGTTCATCATTCTTGATTCCTTATGCTGCTCTTGTGGACCAGAAGTCCAGATATTTGTCTGAAACGCTGCGAATTCGATTGGCTCCATCACTGACAAGCTTGAGGCTGCTGATAGATTGTCCGGAGGAACGCCATAGTACATCTGGTGCCCTACTAGTTGGTGACCCGTGGATTGAGACTGTTCGCCTTAAAAGCCAGGAAAAACAAAAACCAAAGAAATATACGCAACTCCCTGGTGCTGAAAAGGAGGTAAAAATGATTGGACAGATATTGAACGTTGAGCCTCTCATGGGAAAGAACGCTACAAAAGATCAAGTGCTACGCAAACTAAACTCAGTTTCGTTAGTTCACATAGCAGCTCATGGCTCTGCAGAAAGGGGTGAAATTCTGTTGTCACCTAATCTTGGCAGCTCCAAACCTCCCGAAGAGAAAGACTTTCTTTTGACCATGAAAGATGTGTTGGATGCTAAATTGGACGCCAAGCTTGTTGTCCTAAGCTGCTGTCACAGTGGGCGAGGGAAGATTAAAGCCGAGGGCGTGGTGGGTATTGCACGTGCCTTTTTAGGAGCTGGTGCGCGCTCTGTTATTGCGTCACTGTGGGAGAATGACGACGATGCTACTCTGACGTTTATGAAACACTTCTACGAGCATTTGGTCAGGGGGCAGAGTGCAAGTAAGTCACTTCATGAGGCCATGAAAATGATGCGGGAGTCAGACGGCTTCAATGCCGTGAAGTACTGGGCCCCATTTATGCTGATTGGCGATGACGTCACTTTAAATTTCGACCAATGAAGGTGAGGTTTTGGGTAAGTTTATTTGAAAATGTTATTGAGTCAATGAAACGCAAAAAAAAAATATCTTCAACAAGGAAATTCACCAAAAGTGTTAGAAATACCACAAGTTGATAATAGTTATAAGATAAAGAATTGTTTCGGATAAAAGGTATTAAAATGGAATTACCACGAACAGACTTTAAAATATTTTGGACTAATTTTTTAAGTTGCAACAAACCTTACAGCAGTTTGGAGAAATAAAAGGATTTTATCTTTGAATGTTTCATTAGTTAAGCTTTCTGGAGAGTTGAAAACAGAGGCTTCAAAAATCTCGGAAATGACCTACCTTGGAGTTATTTAAGAAGCTACTCTATACATTGTTTACCTTGAAGAGGAGACACCAGCTACGAAGCCTTGAGGACCCTTTGGTTCTCCATAACACGTAGCTCCATTGTCTTGGGGATAGAGTCATGGTTATATTTCTATGTCTGTTGTTTTCACAGTCCTTGTAAAGAGCTGCGTACCGCCCCTTTTGAGTTGCACTGTAGTCCAATTTAAAGGAAACATCAAGTATCACGAACTCTAAAGGATGACTTGCTTTTGCCGGTACCAAGGTCGCTTGTAGACCGGGACACAAGTAAAGGAATAAAAACGAAAGAAACCATGAACAAATATCAAAGGTCTTCGTGTAAGGTCGAAACAAAACGATTTAAAAACATTCACTAATGACATTCACTAACGCCTCGGCATTGTAACATATGAATTCATCTTTTCACGTGACAACCTTTCTCGAATCAGCTATACACTTGTAACATCCAGTTCGAGACGTTCAAGTCACAACACTGAGGACACACAAAAATTGTTTTAGAAACAGATATTGTTAAATCTTCAGATAACTAGGGAATGCCAGTTTTTGTAGATAATTTTTTTTCACAACTTTACTTGTCGATTCCAAACCCCTTTCAAATAGGGAAATGACGTATTTTGTCCGAGTCTGCGTTTGTTTTATCCATTTTATTTGCCTGGTGATAATTTGTCTTTTAAGAAGTGAAAAATGAAATTTTAGTTAATTTCATATATCGTTTTATTTGTAAAGTTTTTTTGTGCAAAGCGTCTAAGGCACTTTATTATATAGACACGAGTGTTTTACTGGAAAATATACCACTCGTAAAATTCATAAAAACAACATCCGGGACCCGAGTGGTTTATTTTCTATAATCTCACATTTGAATTTATCGATGACCTAATTTCGGTCATTTCCCTCTATTATTTTATCGATGTCTTTTTGTCTATATAATAAAAAGAACATTACACGGCGGCTTGAAGATGTGAATTTTATTTTCTCGTGGCAAAAACATTATTTTACTCACTCGCTGTGCTCACTCGTAAAATATTGTTTTGTTACTCGAGAACAAAATTCAAATCTTCGCGCCACCGTGTAATATCCTCCATATATTTGTTCAGTGTAAATTGATATCTTGTCCTTAGCAAATTCCGTTCATGTATGTTTTCAACTGAAAATTACTTCAGTTATGAGACTGATCTCGATGTGGTCCACTCCCTAAGAGTGTCCCGCCCGCGGTATAAACTCAGTTTAAACACCTCTGAAACAGTTTTTATTTATTATAGTATGCACGGGACGTAATGATTTGGCTCGCCAGCGATATCAGCTGTGTTTATCGATAAGTCTCAGTAAAGATTAAGCCACAGATAAAGCAACTGAAAAACGGCCATACATTTTCTTATAAAAAAAAACCGTTAATGATCAGGTCACTCGTTGTTAATACGGCCAACGGCCACGTTTTAAAATCCCAAACAGCAGAATCTTTTATAACTTCACCCCGTTAATACAGCCACTTGTTCGAAATTTAGAAAATTTAAATGCGTGTGACATGTTAATTTTATTGACCTAGTACTCGAAGCCTGTTCTTGTACTGCCTTGTGACTACAGTACAAATAAACTGTAAATTTAAGCTACATCCCGGTTGTTTATTAATGAGAACAGTTGTTCAAGAAATGCGAATGCGTTGTACGGTGCATTTGTCATTACGACCCTCAATTCGTGAAATTTGAGCCTGCACCGATAATACGGCCACCCATTTTTCGGCCGAATTTTTTGATTCATGGTGACCGTAATAACGGGGTTCCACTGTATAACTAAAGCATAAAATATGCTTTTGTACATTATTATTGCTATGTCCTGTGTAACTCTTAGAATAATGGGACCAGCAGGTTTGTTAAATGAATTTACATTTTCTAATTTGCTTATTATTCGAGACTCGACACTTTATAAAATCTTGCATAATTTTTTTGTTTGTTTTTATTTACTTGAATGCCATTATACTTGGAGCATTACATATGTACATTGTTTATGACACTTATTGCGTCAATAAAATAAGATCTAATTTTTATATTTCTCTTTTTTCCTTTCTTCTCTCTTTTTTTCTACTCCTCTTTTTCACCAGCTACTTTCTCCAACTTCCCTCTTTTATTTTCTTTTTTTTACCAGTGAGCGGCTATATAGCTCTAGCTTACATTTCTCCCCCCCATACCTCTACACTACGACGATTTCTTGAGTCTGATTTGAGTCCGAAATATTCTAGTTCGGGTTCCCAAGTTAAAAAATATCCTTAACGATAGATTAAATAAATGTGCATTTTTTAATGTTATTTTTTTACATGAGCTCGGATTCCTTTGTTCTTTTCGGGGCCAATATATTACATAACCCCTGAATCAACTGTCTGAAAAGCTGGGTGCGGCTTTGATTGTTTGAAGGGAAGAGCGGGGCTAAAATTCTAGGGGATTATGTATTAAGGTATTAAGGGGGATAAGTCACTTATCCCCCTTGCATATTATTAATATATATAATCCCCCAGCATTTTAATTAGCTTTTGATGAAGAACACATTTACAAATGTTTACTTCCTTGGAATTATCAAACATGATACTACAATCACTCTGAAAAAACTAAACTGAGCTGCGTTGTTTTGCATCACATTCGGTTCCGGCATCGACTTTCACGGCCACAACGACATTACGAAATTGAACAGCGTCTTTAAAATTCCATGGTTTGGAGCTACCACGAAAGTGCCATTATCATGGCAAGGCGTTCCGTTGTTTAACCCAATCATCCCAAACTCGTGTACTGCATGTAGTTGACCTCTTTTTGTCTTTGTGTTTTGCAGTATTCTTGCTTCATTCCTAGACTTAGGCCCGGTTCAGACGCCGAAGTTTTCTGTACCCTTATACCTTATACATTAAATTGAGCTCGTGAAAAGTTCGGCATCTGAATCAATAAGGAACGCCTGTTTCAATCTACAACGGCTTAGCCGTTCTTTTCGCCTAGCTCGGCCGGGAATTTTGCATTTAGAGCGACTTCGGAACAGCTTTTTCAGACGCCGAACTTTTCATGTACCGAACTAGCCTGTTCCAGGCGTTCAGATCGTGGGGAAAGCGCAAAGAGATGTGAGCAGATAAAAAAAACAAAAACAAAAACAAAACAACGAGGGGGTGGGGAAGGGGTGAGAGCGAGGGACTCCCTCTTTTCCTCCTTATTTTTTCTCTCACTCACTTCCTTCGCGCCGCACTCCACTATCCGATCGCCCGGGACAGGCTAGTACCGCACCCAATGCATAAATTATCATAAGTTATTTTTTAAGCAGTTTGACCAAAATTTCGCCTTTTGAACTTAGTTCAGCTGAAATTAAGATCGGCGTCTTAATCAAATAAGCTGGTCTAAATAATTTGGGTCGGCCTTAGTTCGAATTAGGTAAGGCTCATAAAAAGTTCGGCGTCTGAATCGAGGCTTTTTTTTTTCAGTTAAAGTAGTGATCCCTCGCCCGGAATCTTCTTTATCTGTAAACAGGTCGGTCAAAAGATCCTCGGTGCTGAAATGAAATTGTTAACTGCCTGTTAGTTGTCTGCACCCGCAAACGAAGATTCAAAATTGTTTTCCGAAAGCTCAATTGCAGTACTGCCACTAAAGCTGCTTTACTTTGAGTAATAAACGGTTCTTCTTCTTAGTCTAAATCATTCGACACTACTAGGCTGTTTGTAACATTCATTACGATCGCCAACAACTAATTCGAAATGCTACTTTGAAAACTAACATAATTTAAAAGCCGAGAAACTTGTGAATACCACCAGTGCCAGCACGGAGTGTTGAAAAACAAAAGAAAGATGAACAATAGAGGCATTTTTCGTCAATGTATTTTTGAAACATTGAGGAAACCTCGGCAATAGCTGCGGTCACATCTGGGCTACTAAGGGCCTCTTAATGGAGATGGGGGACCCCAGGTAGGTGAGGTAACCCGCCTATCCATATAATCTCTCATTTTAATTTGATCACATTTACATGATAGGTGGGGTGACCCGTCAAGGCGGGTAGCCCGGTCTGCCATGTAATTGTTTCAAGGTGGGGTAACCCGCCTTGCCGGGGTCGGATTCGTGATACATCAAATTCGCGCAAAATTCACTTTGGCGGTGACCTTGGAATCATTAATATATAGATTTAGCCAGGGCTAAAAGTAGCGGAGCTCCACGCGCGCGCCAAGCGCGCGCGTGGGCGGAGCCCCATTGCTAAGTAAATCTACCCATCCCAGAAAATTTGGTAATCACGTGACCGTACACCGACCGCCGACCGCCGAACGACCGTCCGTCCGCACCACAGGAAAACCAATGTTTACTCTCACATTTTAGCTAGTTTGGGAGCCCAAGAGAAAACTAATTTCACATCAATGTTGTGATCAATTGACAGCTGTCAAAACAGGGCATCCGCTGACCAGTATCACCTGACCGTAGCGCGGGCTCAAGTGTCGACCCATCGAGGTCGAGT